GTCTGCAGCTCAGCGCCGCGAACCAACAGGCGCTCTTGAGCCGCTACAGTTACAACTCATGGAACTCCATGGGTAAATTCAAAGAGTTGGTTCCCCAGGACTCAAGAGAGGAGTTTGAGGCCTTAGTGGAGGAAGGTAAGAAGGTGGCTAGGACCTCCTTACAAGCCTCCCTGGACATAGCGGACTCGGCCGCCAGGACACTAGCATCTGGCATAGCCATGCGACGCGTCTCCTGGCTCCAGGTTTCGGGCTTACTGCCAGAACTGCAGCAGACCCTGCAGGATCTACCGTTCGAGGGTCCGGGGTTATTCTCGGACAAGATGGACTCTCGGTTGCAGAGCCTCAAGGACTCGAGAACCATCATGCGCTCCCTGGGGATGCATGTCCCAGGACCCCAGTGCAGGCCCTTTAAGCCCCAGCCGCAAAGGTTCTTCCCTCCCCCGCCTCGTCCGAGACAGGACTTCGCCAGAAGGCGGGGACGAGGTGGTAGACGAAGGTCGACCGGCCCTCAACCCGGTCAGAACCAGGGCCCTCCTAGGCCACCTTCAGGTCTTAGACAAAACTTTTGAAGGTGCGCTCGAGGACGGCGCGCCAGCCACTACCCAGGATCCATTTCCTTCCTTTTGGGATCACCTCTCTCGTTTCCACCGTGCTTGGTCCCCTTATAACCTCGGACCGTTGGGTCCTTCGCACGGTGGAGAGGGGATACGCTCTCCAGTTTTCTTCGTTTCCCCCTCGCCACTCCCCCCCCCCCGTCCCTCTTCAGGGACCCTTCTCACGTGCATCTCCTTACGGAGGAGGTTTTGGGCCTTCTCTCTATGGGAGCCATAGAGGAGGTTCCCCCAGAGTTAAGGGGCAGGGGGTTCTACTCCCGCTACTTCCTGATCCCCAAAGCAAAAGGGGGTCTGCGTCCCATTTTAGACTTACACGGACTCAACAAATTCATAGTAAAGTTGAAGTTCCGCATGGTCTCCTTGGGGACCATAGTCCCTTCCCTGGATCCTAGCGACTGGTACGCCGCCCTCGACATGAAGGACACATATTTTCACATAGCAATCTATCCCCCACACAGGCGCTTCCTTCGATTTGTAGTAAACAATGTGCACTACCAATTTGCCGTCCTTCCCTTCGGCTTGTCCGCGGCTCCGAGAGCGTTCACCAAATGTATGGCTGTCGTGGCAGTATACCTTCATCGGCAAAGGATACAGGTGTTCCCGTATCTAGACGACTGGCCGCACCAGGGAGCAAGTTCAAGCTCACGTCCAGATAATACTACAAACATTCCACGAGTTAAGCATTCTACTCAACAAAGAGAAGTCCACTCTGGAGCCAACCCAGAGAATAGAGTTTATCGGGGCAGTCTTAGACTCCAGACTTGCCCAAGCTCTTCTGCCAGACGCTCGGTTTCACACCATCACAAACATCATCCGAGGGCTCCAGGTCTTCCCAATTACCACAATAAGGACGTGCCTCGGCCTGTTGGGTCACATGGCCTCTTGTACTTACGTAACCAGGCATGCCAGACTTCGGCTTCGCCAACTTCAGGCCTGGATATCGTCAGTGTACCGTCCTTATCGGCACAACCTGAACATGGTGGTCATGATTCCGAACTCTGTCTTGGCCTCTCTCACCTGGTGGCTGGATCACAAGGCGGTTTGCGCAGGAATGCAGTTTCACACCCCACAACCCTCCCTGCACCTGGTCACGGATGCTTCATCCTAGTTTGGGGCGCTTACCTCGGAGAGCACCATACCCAGGGCCTGTGGACCGCATCCCAGCTAGCTCTGCACATCAATGTTCGAGAGCTGTTGGCGGTGCGTCTAGCCTGTCAGGTATTTCTTGGTCTCCTGCATGGCCGTTGCGTGTCAGTCCTCACAGACAACACCACGGCCATGTTCTACATCAACAAGCAAGGAGGAGCCCGGTCGTCTCTCATATGCCAAGAGGCCATTCGCCTGTGGGAATTCTGCATTGCCCACTCGACACATCTCATGGCATCGTTTCTCCCTGGAGTCCAGAACACTCTAGCGGACCGTCTCAGCAGATCCTTCCAGACGCACGAGTGGTCGATTCGCCCAGACATCATCCATTCCACCTTCCAGAGGTGGGGATTTCCCCAGTTGACCTGTTCCCATCACGAGCCAACAGGAAGTGCCACGTGTTCTGCTCCCTCCAAGGGCAATCTCCGGGCTCCCTGTCGGACGCTTTCCTTCTAACGTGGAAAGACCAACTGTTCTATGCTTTCCCTCCATTTCCACTTGTCCACAGGGAACTGCTCAAGCTACGCAGAGACAAGGCTCGTATGATTCTAGTCGCTCCAGCTTGGCCGAGACAACACTGGTACATCACGCTTCTGGAGCTATCGGTACAAACTCCGATCACGCTCCCCTTGTGCCCAGACTTGATCTCTCAGGACCACAGCCGACTCTGTCACCCCGACCTACAATCGCTCCACCTTACAGTGTGGATGCTCCATGGCTGAATCGTGCAGAGCTACGATGCTCACATCCCGTTCAACAGATTCTGCTGGGAAGTAGAAAGCCCTCTACACTGACCACTTACTTAGCCAAGTGGAAACAGTTCTCCTGTTGGTGCGAGCAGCGGGCCACGCCCCCCTTGCAGGCGTCTATTCCTTTTATACTTGAATATCTCCTATCCCTGAAGCAGCAGGGCTTGGCGATATCTTCAATCAGGGTTCACCTGGCCGCTATATCGGTGTTCCACCCAGGAGAACTCGCTTCCTCGGTCTTCTCTAACCCGGTGGTTGTTGGATTCCTCAAGGGCTTAGACCGGACGTACCCACAGCAACGCCAACCCGTTCCGGCGTGGGATCTTAACCTGGTTCTCTCCAAGCTCACAGGGCCCTCGTTCGAGCCATTGGCTACCTGCTCACTCCTGTACCTATCTTGGAAGACAGCCTTCCTTGTTGCCATCACTTCAGCAAGGTGTGTCTCTGAAATCAGGGGGCTCACATCTGAGCCTCCATACACAGCTTTCCATAAAGACAAGGTGCAGCTCCGCCCCCACCCTGCCTTTCTTCCCAAGGTAGTTTCAGCTTTTCATGTGAACCAGGATATATTTCTCCCGGTCTTCCATCCTAAGCCACACGCCACCCGTCAAGACCAGCGTCTGCATTCCTTGGACGTACGCAGGGCCCTGGCTTTCTATATTGAGCGTACGAAGCTGTTTAGGAAGACGACGCAACTCTTCGTTGCAGTGGCCGACCGGATGAAAGGCTTACTGGTCTCCTCACGTCTCTCCTCTTGGATCACGTCCTGCATTCGTGCTTGCTACGACCTGGCCGGTGCCCCGACGCCGCGCCCACCGCCCAAGCCTCCTCGACTGCCTTCCTGGCTCGAGTCCCGATCCAGGACATTTGTAGAGCTGCGGTTTGGTCGTCAGTCCACACCTTCACCGCTCACTATGCGCTGGTACAGCAGTCCAGAGACGATGCTGCATTCGGATCAGCGGTTTTGCACACAGCGATGTCTCACTCCGACCCCACCGTAGTCACCTAATTGGAATCGATATGAGCAAGCACTTGAAGAAAAAACGGTTACTCACCTTTGTAACTGTTGTTCTTCGAGATGTGTTGCTCATATCCATTCCAAACCCGCCACCCCTTCCCCACTGTCGGAGTAGCTGGCAAGAAGGAACTGAGGGGACGCTGGGTCAGCTGGGGTATATATCCAGCGCCATGAAGGCGCCACTCCAGGGGGCTCCACAGCCGACCCATCGGGTGTTGCTAGGATAGAAAATTTCTCCGACGATCGTGCACGTGGCGCGCACACACCTAATTGGAATGGATATGAGCAACACATCTCGAAGAACAACAGTTACAAAGGTGAGTAACCGTTTTTTATTGTACTTAAACCTTAATTTTAGATCAGAACCATGTTTAATCTTCTCTATCTATGTTGTGATCTTTATATTTGAGTTTTAGAAAACTATATGGATACATAGGGACATTTCTGAATGTTAGTATGTTGGTTTCTAAAATGTTCATCTGTTCCTGCAACTCATCACTTGAAGTGTTTAAAAAAAAAAAGTTATTGCAGTAATTGGTTGTGATGTTATAAATCACTCGTCTTTGTTCTGAATAAGCAGAATGAGTAGGTTAACTCTTTGCAAACTTTTTCTTCCAAATATCTGTAATAAACCTCAATTTCTCAACCCTTTCTTCTCCTGTGAAGCTTTCTTCCTCTTCTTTCTTCTGCCTTGTTCCTAGTAGCACTCCCCTTCATGCTATTCCCCCTCCCTCCATCTGCACCCTCACAGTAAAAAATAAAGAATTTAAAAAGCAGAATTAATAAGGTGTGTGCCAGTTGCTCTGATCACTTCCTTTATATGTACATCCTTTTCTCCATCCATTTATCTGGTCTTTTAAGCCTGGAACTAGCCACCACTTACACACATGCTTGCTTTTATGCATGTGAGTAGTTCCATTACAATCAGGTCAAGTATCTGTGTAAACCATTTGCGAAATCAGGACTTAAGGTAGCAAACCCATGAGGGTGGTGATTGATTGTTCCTATATGATTGAAAAGAGCTGAACATGCTTTGGGAATTTGTAGTCTCAATAGTTTTAATGTGCAGAAAATGCAGCAATATATAAACAGAATTGTATCTAAAGGAATGTCTTTCTCCAACTTTCCATGCACAATTGGCAGCTCTTCAAAACCTTTGAGAAAAGGCAAACTAAGAACATACTTCCCTTTCCCCCTGAATAATGTATAAAAATTACATCATTCTAAAACCGAAGCAATGACTTTTCACTTTTTAAATAAATTAGTTGGTAATTTAACTTTAACAAACTAGATTCAGGATATGTGATGGTATTTCAGTAACTGAAAACTGTACCCCACAATCTTTTTTTTTTTAATAATACTTTGATTTTGTTGGTAAAGAAGATCAAATTATATCCTATTAAGATTGAACTGTGCCACTGCTATTTCATTTTCTTGGTGTAACGTGATTACTGATTCTCTGTATTATGTCAGTTTCTGCCTGAAGGGAGAGGGATTGGATGGCAACTTTCCAGCTGTAATAGATTATACACCCTATCTGAAGTTCACCCAAAGGTACTTTTCATTTTGAAACTTCATTTTATTTTTCAGCTTCACTTGGTAGTTGGATATTTTGCCTTTTACTTACCTTTTTGAAGTTTATTTGGCTTTCAGTATGTTGTGACATTCTGCGCTTGGTGACCAGCATGGGATGCTTAGCTTTTTATTGCTGTAATACTGCGTGACTTATGAGCTGTGAGCAGTCATGCTGAAATTTTAGTCTATACTCAGGTGTTTAATACTTATGCTAATTTTAAAGAGAAAAATTACTTTTATCACTGAAGCTTAGACTTTTTAATTAGAGCTAATAGATTGTAGAGCAGCTGTAATTAATGCTTTTTTTCTGTAGGAAGATATGCCAATTACATTTTCCTTCCTATGTGTACGTTTTTTTTCACATAGTTAATGGCATTGTTCGTATAAAGGTGAGAAAAATCACATCTGCACCTATATCTTGTTGACTTCTGTTGCATCTTGTAAAGTCTGTCTATATGTGGTATTAGTATTTAGCCCTTCAAAAATATCCTGTGGTTACCTGTATAATACCTGGGTCTCTTCAACCAATTTTTAACTATATGGTTTAGCATAATGATCCTTTTTGACAAAGAACATTTAGTTAATATCTGTATCTGACTGAGAACAGTGAGACCATCAGTAGCCCCACTCAGCACCTCAAAAGAGCATGGAAATACTGCTATAGATTTTGTTGCTAGATTTAACTGTTTTGAAAAGCAGGCGGGAATTAAGATGTTCTCCCATGAAACATTTGATGTACTGTCGCTAAGACACATGGCTGAAAAATGAAAATTCTAATTCTTCTCTAGAGATGCAGATCTCATTAGCTTTTTTTTTTAATTGCCTAATTGCAAAGTTCAATTTAAGTTAACTACAACACTACAAAAATATTTTTGACCCAAATCAGTAATAGAATGTGAGCATTTCTTTAGTGTGCACAAAAAGCTTATCAAAAACCCTGTGTCTGTTCAGGGTCACCACTGTACTGATCTAGTCTAAAAGCTTTAATGGACACCCATATTTGTCACAGCAGGGCTGATTCCCTGATTTGTCTTAAAACTAAAACAAATTAGACCCCATAGGTACTAGGGCAGTGATTCAAACACTTTTATGTTGAACCTTGATAATGAGGACTAAAAGATCCATAAGTAACGAGTGTGTTATAGTAGCATGCCTTCACTGTTGGTATACTTCTTGAACTGTTTTAAATAGCATATTTGAAGAGAATCATATAAATACTATGATTTATAGTATTTACAATGCTAAATACTTCTAGAAGAAACATGAAAAATAAGTGAATTATGCAGAACTCTCACAACTGAAAACTAGCTAAAAGTTCTTGATGATGCAGCAGAAAACTTAGTAACAAGGAAAAAGGTAAAGGGATAAGCTAAAATTCTTACCTTTCTGAGTTAATGGCCACCTCTCCAATGTAACATAGCAAGATCTTCCTTTTTGTGCTGCCTTACATAGCTGATGACTTCGCAGACACAGATTCCTGGCATTACTTTCGGTGGTTGTGAAATAGCTTTGTGTTTGCTGAGCAAATAATGACTATCTTGTAAACTGTAGTTGTAATGTTTAATCCTACAGCTATTCCATTACTGATTTATTTATTTATTTTTATTTATTTTTAAAGAAGGCTGTGCATTTCATGTTTTAAGAGTAGCAGTGCTTCAGTTTCAAGGTAGGTTTTGTATCAGTTGACTGTAATTTTCATTTGGTTTATAAATTTGGTCCTTCAGTTCTGATAGCATCAGCAGTGATGAAGAAGAGCTAAGGACTCTCGGAAGTAGCGGCAGTGAAAGCAGTACTCCGGAAAATATTGGACCTCCTTTCCTCATGGATGAAAACAGTTGGTACAACAAATGCAAAAGGGTAGAACAGAAGTATCGACTCACCTTGGAGCAGAAGGTAAAAAAATCAGTTTGTGGAGGGGTGAGGGTGACTGAACTAATGTGTATTTTTATGTCCAATATTATTGTCACTGAAAAGACATAGGATCCTGTAAACAGGTATTCTTCTAGTAATATATGTTTGTCAAAACATAACAAATATAGCTATTATTGTGGGTCAGGTTAAATGTCATTGAAGTTGGTGGGTTGGACTGCCACACTTTATTTAAGATGGCTGTAAGAAACAGTTATACTCCTTTTGTAGTAGCTCCCAACCTAAAACAAGCATATGTGAGTCCACCCAGGAATGTGAACTTATGTGAATGGAGGGCTTGGGTGGGGAGTGTGGAGAGAGAAGCAGAAGCATACAGGAACAGGTTTAGAAAACACATGCAGTCTGGACAAGCTGGCTAAAAGAGGCTTGGGGCTGTAAGCAATGAAACTACCTCCTGAGTCTTGGCTCCTCTATGTTCAATGAAAACAGGACTTTGTATCAGCGCATAAGCTTTCGTGGGTAAATACCCACCTCGTCAGACGCATGTCATGACGTGCAGACATGCGTCTGAAGAAATGGGTATTCACCAACGAAAGCTTATGCTCCAATACATCTGTTAGTCTTAAAGATGCCACAGGACTCTCCGTTGCTTTTTTACAGATCCAGACTAAGACAGCTACCACTCTGATACAGGACTTTGTATATTTCTTGTAAATAAACAAGATTGCTTCAAAGGTACCTATTGAAGCACTGGGGATGGGCAGGTGTGGGCCTACCCATTACTAATGGCCTCCCCCCTCAGCTTAAGGGGAAGAGCTATTGGACCCAGGCATCAACTAATTTTGGGGGACGACAAATGAAAAAAATAGGGACAGAAGTGAAGGTCACAAGGATAAAATCAGGTATCCAGAAGAGGCCGCTGAGCAGAGAACCCTGGACAGTACCCACTGGTCCTTGAAGGTATCAGGGAGGCAGTGGACACAGCTCAGAGGAACTCTGCTTGGCGATGTGACTTCAAGATGGATTGGAAATAGGCCTCACAGTTGCAGAGCACCTCCATGTCTAGCTTCCTCCTCCGGGTATCAAAGATTCCTGATATCATCAGTTTCTCCTCCTACCTGGAGCAACCTGCAAGACCCTGAATTTTTCGCTAGCTGCTCAGGCCAAACAGGGTAACACTACTTTGTGTGTTCTTTGGCTTCCATATATCGAAGTACTGATGTGTGCCCTGTCACTATTGAATCTGATAATTTACATGAGGTCTCTTAATATCTAGACAGAATAAATAATAATACTTAGCACTTATATAGCCCCTTTTAATTAGAAGATTTCAAATTACTTTAAAATAGGCCCTATGATACCCCAATGTGGTACAATAAGTAGGAATTTACTATATGCACTTTATTGGTGGACAAACTGAGGCACTGTTAACTCAATCGTCCAAAGTATTACAGTGAATTGATGGCAGATCTGAAAATCTAATGCAGAATGTCTGTCTCCCAGTTTCCATCTCTAGCCCGTAGAGCGCATATAAGCTATTGGTTATACCTGGTATAGCTGCATGTCTTGGGACTGGCCTAGCTATCTGAGAGTTCCCGGTTTCATAACCCTTTGTCCTCTTCATCTGATGGCTACATTCCACCAGAACAATTAGTGTTGACTAGTCAGGGAGGCTTGAGAGTGTTGGAGATAGAACTTTCACAAAAGCTGGACCTAGACTATGAAACTTACTTCTGCAAGAGATAAGAATGACTATCAAACTAATCACTTAGAGAGAGAAACGCAAAACTAATTTCTTTGACTTAACTTTGCCTCAGATGCACAACACACACTTTCACTCTCTCACATACACATAAACAACAAAAAATATATAAACTAATCAAGCTATTTCTCCTTCAAACTGGAGAGGGTTAGAGAGAGAGAAGAGGTGTGGAAGGGAAGTGAGGGACAAAATATTTGGAGTCACTCAAATACTATGAAGAAGGCATAAAAGTACCAGAATTAGGCAGCATTTCAAAAACAAGACTTAATGCCAAAGGTTTGAAGCATATTCAGGTGGTTTGCTAGTATAGCGTATGTCCAACCCATTTTATAGCATAATATTTCAGCCCTATTTCTTACACAGAATGCTACCCTCAAGAACTGGGCAGTAACACATTGGAACAGAGAAAAGGGACAAAAAGTGTGTGGGTGGGGTGGGGTGGGGGGGTGAGTGTAAGTGTTGGTGGCTTAAAAAAAAAGAGAGGGATTGAAGGTGGGAGAAAGTGTTTGAAGTAACAAAACCCAGAAAAAAGAGGAAAGTGAAATAGTGGGACAGACAGATGGAAATAAAATTAAAGCTGATGGGAGAAACAAAGAAAAATTAAGAAGGAGTGAAGGAAAAAGAGGAGGAATGCATAAAGGGGGTGTAACAAGGTTTGCTTACCACTCTGGTGCCTCTTCATCCTGTCTTGGGAATTAGCTCTGCAGTTGAGTGCGCCCCCTTCAGGTGGTGCATTGCCACTGTGACTCCCGCTCTTGGCCCACGTCTCTCCAAGGACTGCGGCGCCCTCTTCAGCGACACAGCCCTCCGGCCATGCCACACACTGTGCTCCCCCCTGCCGGGGGACCTGCAGTCCACTGTTCAGCCACTTCCCGCCAGTGGCAAACTGCAGTCCATGGTCTAGCCACTTCCCGCGTGGCTCTGCCACCTTCTTTACCTTTGTATCAGGGCCTCAGTCTGCAGTCCCCAGGCAGTCAGCCAGGACCTGTTTCTCTGGCTTCCTCCGCCCCTGTTTGCAGCACTGCTCTGTCCAGGGTGCTGGCAGTTCTCTTGGCCCTTCAGGGACACAGTCCTTCCTCCCTGTGCTCCCAGCAGAAAACTGCCTTCCTCTGCCTTGCAGCTAGTTTTTTATATAGGCCTACTTGGCCCTGATTGGCTGCTCCTCTCAGCTTTCCTCTGATTGGCTGCCTCCAGCGCAGCCTTACTAGGGCTGCTTTTAACCCCTTTTTGCCAGTGAGGGTTAGCCGCCCCATCCCAGGGAGACCTACTATGTTATAAAAGATTCTGCTTAATGGCTTCGTTTAATAGAATATTTAATGCCAAATTTTTAAATAAACCCCCAGAAAAGTAAAGTATGGGCAATAATAAAATTGGGTGGGTGGAGTGTGGATAGTCTGGGGAAGGAAAACCATAGGGCCATACCTGCTCCACTAAGCACTCCCTTAGTGAATGAAAAGGAGAGGGATAAAGGTGGATGTTTATATTCCAAATGGCAGAGTCCCAACCTAGCAGCTGGGACTGAATGTTCTACTCCAGTGCAGAGTCCCTTGCCCCTGCTTTCAAAAGGAAGTAGAATCACGGGTTGAAAAAGGGCAAGCTATATAGAATAAAAAGATTAAGTGAAACTGGGCTCCAGTGGTGCAATGGGTAGGGCACAGTACTTATAGAGCAGTGAAGTGATGCTGAGATTGAGAGTTCAAACCTCACCTGGAGCACTAGTTCGGGGGAGGGATAGCTCAGTGGTTTGAGCATTAACCCGCTAAACCTAGGGCTGTGAGTTCAATCCTTGAGGGGGCCACTTAGGGATCTGGGGTAAAAATCTGTCTGGGGATTGGTCCTGCTTTGAGCAGGGGTTAGATGACCTCCTGAGGTCCCTTCCAACCCTGATATTCTATGAGTCTGTTTGGCTACATCTTTGCTGTTTCCCTCTATCCCCCTGAAATTTCCCACCATTGCTAACACCAGTCCAACTCCACCACTCGTAGCAATGATGATACCATTAGGATAACTAGAGCTCCTGTAGACCCCACCGTGTTTAACACCATGATACCTAGCATTGATCAGAGCAGTTCTAAGGGTGCATCTACCTTGCAGCTGGGAGGTATAATTTCCAGCTCTACACTTTCTAGTTCTGATTAAATTAGCACACTAAAAATAGCATTGTGGCTGTGGCACAAGTGGCAGCTCTGGCTAGCTGCCTGGGTATACTCTTGTCCGAGGTCTGAGATCCTAGGTATGTACTTGGGTAGTTAGCCTGTGCTGCTGTGGCAACATTGCTATTTTTAGCAAGTTAGCTTGACGGAACTAGTGCATACATGTCTACCCAAGTGGGAATTACACCCCCCAGCTGCAGTGTAGAAGTACCCTAAAATATCATGTAGCCTGGCATTAGGGATATGTCTACACTTTGAGCTGGAGGTGTAATTTGCAGCTTAAGGAGACATACCTGCACTAGATCTGATTGAGTGAGTGGCCAAAAACAGAGTACAGCAGTAGTGGAAAGGACTAGCTGCCCTAAGTATGTGTCTAGCATCTTGAATGTGTATGTACTGAGGGGAGGAGGTGGGGATTTGGGGAAGGAGTTGGAATAGGGGCAGGGAGGGGGCGTAGTTGGGGCAGGGACTTTGGGGAAGGGGTTGGAATCTGGGTGGGGTAGGGGTGGGAAGAGGTGGGGCGGAGCCTCATGGAAGGGGTGGGGTGGGGATGGGGGCAAAAGGGGATGGAGTACCTACAGGAAAGAGGGGAAGTTGGCACCTATGACACTAGCTCAATCTTAGCTAGCACAGGTACATCTCCTTGAGCTGGAATTTACATCTCCAGCTCAAAGTGCAGATCTACCCTAACACAGTACTTTTGTTTATACTAGTGGCTCATCTTTGCTATGACTGTTAGTTACAACAGTGGAATTTTTTTTTCTGACCAAAAATATTGCTCTCCCAGCAACATAGCACTGTCCACACTGGCGCTTCTGTCAGTGCAACTTACGTTGCTCAGCATTGGGGGGTTTTTCACACCCCTGAGTGACATAAGTTATACTGACAAAAGTAGCAGTATAGACATAGCCAATCAGTGTCAGGGCTGTCTTCACAGGAGCTGGAAGTATAATTTCCAGTTTAGGTAAACATACCTTTGTTAGCTCCAGTGGAGGTAGTGCACTAAAAATAGAAGTGTGGTTGTGGCAGCATGAGTTGCAGGATGGGCTAGCTACCCTGAATATTATCCCGTCTGAAACCCCTAAGTAGGTACTCGAGGTTGCCACATG